CCAGATACATTGAGGTATCTCGAGCTTGGAGGTAGTATCTGCCCCTTGCTACTAATCTTAAATCATAGCAAAATAAGATCTCGTTTACCCCGAGGTTAATCCCAAGTTGAACATTAAGGGCAACTACGCCCATCACTATCCTAAAGAAGTTGATACCACATTGGAGGGGGAAAAGCCTCAATTGCATCAACATTCTGAGTACTAGGGGGTGAAGGGGAAAGGTCAACCCCCCTTTCATGATGGCCTTTGTCTAGAAAGGCATTATCTCAACACATCCTAGGTCCCTTCTATGATAGAGGGGGTTGAAGGGAAAACTGACAACAAGCTCAGGGATCCGGTATTTGGCTCTAAAGGCATCTATATTTTTCTCATTGACCTCAATTCTCCTGGGTCTGTGGTTGGCCCTAGTCCTGGTAGGTGCTCTCTCGCCTGTTCTACGGGTTCTAGCCATTGGTAGGTTCTAAGGAGAAGAAATGTAGAAGAAGTAAGAAAGGGACTCAACAAGAGGGAGGTACTTACAGGTGAGGGATCTCCAAGAAAGATGCTCGGGAGTTGAAGGAGGAGTGCTCGGGAGTTGATTGCTGAAGAAGAATTTGGAGTGCAAAAGTTCTGAAAAGGCTCAAGCATCCCCTATTTATACCCTCTTGAGGGGTGGGAATCGAAAAGGCAAGTCATCATTAAGGGTTTTGAAAATGGCGGTGCCAGATATGCAAGAAATCGCCGCTATTAATGAGGCATGTTTGATAAGCCTCCAGTCTCCTTGCGCCACCTGTCTCATGCCGCAAAGAAGAACGGAAGCTGGGGGGCAGTTGATGGGACTCAAGGCGGCTCAGCGGCCTCCGGATTTACACTTGTAAAATTGTAACCGTTGTGGGGCTCAAAAGGCACTGAGGAGCCGAGCCGAGAGGTGACGACTCGGAGGAGCCGAGGTCTCAAATTGACACCCGCATTTAATGCGACTTCACCATTCATTGATGGCGAAGCGAGTGATGGAGACAGTGCCATTAATGAAGTTCTACAATCTCAGACCCTAGGCCTGCAGTCATGATAGCTAAACATTAATGACTATTACGCCGAGTATGTATCCCCGGAGGTCCTTGAGGCACTGTTTCCCCGAACATTGAATTCTGTCGTAGGTGTCAGACGCTGATCATAGGCACTTGAGTGCTCGGAGAAAGCCATAATTGCTCGGCTTGTCCCTGAGCACTTGTCCTATCACCCTTACATTAAATGAGTGGAGATCTTGGAGGAGAATATTGAGATTTTCCTGGGTAAAGGAGCTAGACATTTAATACTCAGATGCGACTTGTAGTAATCGCAATCATTGTTATTCCATGTATAAATACTCTACAACAAAATGAACAAAGGTATGTAACATTGAACCAGAAATATCAGATTCATTGAGCTTTAACCTTCAATCTTACATTGACTTAAGATTCGGAAGAGATAAGCCAGGTGTTCACCTGACCCTTTTTTTCTGATCCTGTGACTGTTGCATTCACCAAGCTAAAGGTTGTCATCTCAAACTATTACATGAATTATATCATGCAATTAAGATGCCAACTCATATGATTCCCATGAGTTTTTTACTTTATCTTTTTGCATTTCTGAGTTACTTGGAATTTCTAAATTCGTATACTTTGTTCAAGAGTTGAACATGTCAACCGGATCGATCTGTGTAAACTGTAAACCCACTGCGCCTTGAATGGGTTGGCAAGTTGACCTTTTGTGTGGAATTTTTTCATTTGCTGCTGTCATTTGACCAGTCAGCATAGGATGCTAGTCTCAATAGCAGGCTATGAAAATTTGTTACGATATTTCCTAAACACTCAGCTGTTCATGTATATGAACCCATAGATACTCTTTTTGACAAAACGATTATTAAGGGTGAGTTCTATTCATTAATCAATGTTAGTTGTTATCAGATTTAACTACCATGTTGAGTATAAAATCAAATATAGTATGAACTTCAACTCTTTGTGGCCGAGACATGCAAAGAGTAACCTACATATATGCCAAATAAAAATGTGTTGGAATTATATATGGGTCTCTTGGGCATCTATGCAAGCGGGTCTTTCAGGTCTTTTCTACTATACTTACGACTTTTAAGATTGTAGACTTTTTTATTTTTTATTTTTGGGGGAGGAGAGAAGACTTGATAAATTACATGTATTATTTTATTATCTTTATTACAAGTTGAATCAAATTACTTAAAAATAACGATATACAGATAGAACTATACAAAGAATATATAATTCATCTAAAATGACGTGAATTGTTTGGGTTTCAACATATACATTAACGAGGAACAGTATACCTTGGACACACATGCATACATTAAGTACGGGTTTTTAGTCACGCAATTCAAGAGTCCATTTTCTTGTTCTTGTCAATAGAAAACTTAGAAGGAATCTTCTTCCTCGTGCCACTAACAAGCCGTCATATTATTCAAATTCATCCTTACCGAAATTTTAAGGTCACAATGGTAATACTCAAATCCTTTCGATCTAAGCAACAGAGTCACCAGTGCCATATGGCATGAGTCCATGGTCAGAAAAGAAAATCTAGTGGCCGAGCAGTCGAAGTTGACATTTGTCATAACTTTCTTTGAGAAAACTTGTTTTGTGGGACCAACACACCACTTCCACCACAATCATCTTCTCTTTTTCAATATAATTTTATATCATATTATTGTTCATGTTATTATTTTTGTAAGTATGATACTGTTCATATTATTATTTTTATTGAACATGCTACTATTGTTATTTTCTCAAATATTAATATTCAACATTATTATTTTTTTGTTTTTGAATATTATTATTTTTTTATATTTAAATGTCACTATTTTTTTGTGTTTATTATTATTTTTTGCGTTTGAATGATACTATTTTTTATATTTGACTGTAACTATTTTTTTTAATGTTACTCTCTCTCTCTCTTTATATATATATATATATATATATATATATATANTATTAACAGATATCAACTACAAGGAATTATGTGTTACACATCCACTAACGTCAGGAGGTATAGGATTAATATTCTAAATGTGAGTGGTCCAAATGATTAAATGACAAACTTGAGGGGGTCTAGGTGTAACTTATTCAATTAGTTTTTTACAGCAAATTGACAACTGTTAACTTTATGTACACATTGATACAAATTTATATCTTTGCAAGTACAAATTGAGAATTTTTATGTTTGAAGGTGTAAATTGAGATTCGAGAGATCTTTTGGGGTATAGTTTATAATTAACCCTAAAATTTAGGGCCAAAATATCAACACAAGCCCATGAATCAGCTCAAACCCATCTCTCTCTCTCTCTCTCTGTATGTATATATATATATATACACACACACACTAGCAATATTTTGTGACTAAAGTTACTGTATACTGAAATTATATCATTGTGCATATATTGGAGTATGTGTACAACTAGAGTGTGTATGCGTGTATGTTCATGTTAGAGTATGTGTACATGTGTGCAACTCTGTTCTGGAGTGTGTGTTGAATTTGTGAAATTTAGGGGGAAAATATACCTCCCACAAATTCAAAAACCTAGCTGATTTATTTTATATATATATAAATTTTTTTTACCATGTTACTATTTTTATTGGACATGTTACTACTGTTAGTTTTTTAAATATTAATACTATATATATATATATATATATATATATATATATATATAGTCTTATTCTATACATGAATATAGATAGATATGAAAGATAAAATTTTAATGTTAGTCAAACTCTTAATTAATTTTCAAATTTGTTTTAATTAAACGTAACTACTATGAGTATTTTGGACAATGGAGATTAAAATAAACTTAATATTAAACAAGTTTATTTAATGAACTTATTATCAAATAAGTCTACAAAGGAATACTAGACTCCAAATTTTCCTTTTTTTTATTTAGATGGATCATTGGTAATAAGGGTGTAATTTAGATGGGTTGGACAAATTGTGAAGTCAATTTTGCTCCCCCCAACTTAAAAATTCTTAACTCGAGTTCAATCCAATCCCAATCCCAATCTTCAACTTCACCCCTTTAACCCAATTAGAGATTTGTTTCCTTAAACAAAATTCAAATACTAAAATTCTTGTTGATCCTAAGATACCCTAAGATTACCCCCCATCCAATCAAATACTAAAATTCTTGTTGATCCAAAGATTACCCCAATCCAAAGGTTAACAAGCATTACATTGGAATCCCCCCCCCCCCCACAACCCCCACAAAAAAAAATGAAAATTTAGCTGTGAATTAAAGTTGAATGAGGACTGCGGTCCTATCCCAGTGCTTAAATACCCCACTCGTCATGCGATGATCACAAGTTCGAAAATTTTTCCAGTAATATTACAAATTTAAATAAAAGTTAAAAAATTATAATTTAAATATATATTATTTTTTGGATGAGTGGATCTTATCAACGTTTTTAGTAAGACACACTCATCCAACACTCATCCCGTGGATAATAAGCATTTGAATTATAATTTTTGGGCTCCATTTGAGTTTTATAGCACTTTCTAAATTAAGGAAAATGCTAAATAAATTTTAAAAAATTGATTTAAAAACTTGACTTAATAAATTATTAACATTGAATAAATAGTGAATTCCAATAAATACCGAAACTCACAATTAAATTTATGATAAACATAACAGTCACATTATCAAGTCAATTTTTTAAGTATGTGTAGCATTACTCTCGATCAAAAGCTAAATTTGTATGGAAGCCACGTGAATAAGTAGCCACCAACTAACAGGGGCGAAGTAGTTGAACTTCCTCTTCCCTCAGCACTTAGCTTCATTCATTCAAGTCCTTTTGTCATCTCTCTCTCTCTCTCTCTCTCTCTCTCTCTCTCTCTCTGCTACCGGAAAGTAATGGAGGGGAAAGCAGTGATGGAGAAAAGTGAGGAGCTGAGTTCTGGAAAACCCAGAAACAAAGAAGAAAAAATAGAAGCAAAAGAGAGCCTACAATGTATAACTGATCGAAGCAATGAGGAAGAGCAGAAAAAAGTTAAGTCTCATGAGAGCCTTTGTCGAAAAGCAAGATCCATCTTCCAAGGTTCTCTCACTTCTTCTCCCAATGGATTTTTATTGCATCATGCATGTAGTACACAATATATATTTTGCTCAAAAATGTTCAGGTACGAAGAAATTATAAGTGATANTGCATCATGCATGTAATACACAATATATATTTTGCTCAAAAATGTTCAGGTACGAAGAAATTATAAGTGATAGGCAATCTGAAAAAATTAAATTTCTCGGATTTTGGGCAATTTTTAATTTTTAAAATGAGAGCTGCTAAATTTTGATTCAAAATCAGTCATATGCTAAAAAGTGCTTAGGTCAGTATAATGAAAAATATAAGTAATAGACAAGCTGAAGAAAATAAATTTCTCGGGTTTTGGGCAATTTTTAATCTTTAAAATGAGCTGCTAAATTTTGATTCAAAATTAGTCATACGCTAAAAAATACTCAGGTCAGTATAATGGAAAAAACCCAGACCAAAAAACAAAAAAAAGGTATAATGAAAAAAACAAGTGATAGACAATATGAAGAAATCAAATTTCTGGGGGTAATTTTTAATCTTTAAAATGAGAGCTTGCAGTGCTAAATTCTGATTCAAAATCAGTCATATAACTACTTCAATACCCCACTTAGCAGACAGCATCTGGTTTACTTTTTGACTATATTTATTTAGCGAAGTTTCTCTCATTGTGACTCTTTTGGATGCTTCTAATGTCTTTGAAATTTCAATGTAGTTTCAGTTTTTCACTCAACAAGGGTAGTAGCTAAAATAGCCATGGAATAGTCAGTTCATAGGAATTGACCACTGGCAAATACCTGATCAGATCTAGTTAATAAATGGGATCTAGATGCTTCAAATAGATTATGAACTCAATTTATTGATTTAATTTATTAATTTAATTAATTAGAGTTATTGGATTAATCATGGACTCCATTAAATATTAAAATTCCGTATTAATTCAACAGTTATAATGAAGTCATATTATTAGGTGAGAACATATTAGATCACATTTTTATATCTCAATAACATTACTCATAGATCATGCAAAGTCGGTATATGTAGAAGTATGAACGCTTAAGTTACACCCTTACTGATTTAGTTGTTTAACATGACATTAGAGTAAGAGTTATTGTGTTTGAATTTTACCGTCACCAATACTATTAAATTATTTTCACGCGCCAGATCCTAAATCTAGTTTGTACGTGAGACAAGTTTTTAGATGAGTTGCTGAGGGGCTTCGTCCAAACCAAAGAGGAGAAAAAGTTTTATTTGTTGTTGCATCCCTCTAGAACCATTTGTCGAAAAGTGAGAATAGTCATCGCATTCACTGCAAAAAGTGTCAAAGAAGGAGTTGGATGAGTGTTTTTTGTGTTTTGTCTCGTTGGGCAGTGGCACTCCTGCTGGTAAAGAGAAGATTAAAAAATGAAGTCCATTTCTTTGAAATACCACACAATAATACCGCTAATAAAAATAGAAAATGAGAGACTCAAAAAGTAATGAGAAAATGACTTGGGGGTGTATAGACTCTGGCCATTCGCAACAAAACAATGTACTTGTACTTAGGTGTTTAATAATGTTTGGTGCTCCTCACCCCCTGCAGCTATGTTTTCTTGACTGATTGCACCAACGTTTTTCATGATAACTCACAAATGTCATTGAATTTTCCCTCAAGATCACTTAAATTTTCTTTAAATTTCCATCACGTTCTTGATCATGGAAATTTTTGTTTCTTTGGATTGATTTACAGGAAGTAGACGATTTGATGATCAGAAGGTTTCTTCGTGCACGCGATCTCGACATAGAGAAAGCTTCTACTATGTTTTTGAAATACCTGAAATGGAAACGAACATTCATTCCAAACGAATCGATTTCGACGTCGGAGATCCCAAATGACTTAGCACAGAACAAGATGTTTATGCAAGGAATGGATAAAAAGGGACGACCCATCACTGTTGCTTTTGGTGGTAGGCATTTCCACAACAAAGGTGGTCTAGACGAGTTCCAACGTATGTTCTTAAAGCCCTTTCTAAATTTTTTTGATGTCTTTTACTCACAAGATAATGTAGTTCACTCAGTAGATGTTGAATTTGAACCTGACAATTAACCCCTTCTTTTTTCAGGATTTGTGGTTTTTGCTTTTGACAAATTATGTGCAAGGTAGCTCCTTCCCCCCCCCAAAAAAAAAAAAAAAAAAAAAAAAAAAAAAAACCTCTTTTCCTGAGAATCCCACATGAAACAAGAAAATTTTAAGTTAGTACTACACACCAGATAACACCCAATGAGAGATTGTCTCAAAACCAACTTATGGGACACGAGAAAAAAATTTCGATTAATACTACACACCACGTGGCACCCAATGAGAGGCTCTCACAAAACCTGCGTGTGGGACACAATGAAAATCAGCTTGTGAGTCACACAAGGTGGTTTTTTCAAAAAAAAAACTGACGAAGTGATGCGACAACCTTTTATTGAGAATGTAAATTTTTTTTATAGGTGTTGTACACCACATTATACTGTTATCTAATGTGTTTTTCGCACTGCAAATTTTTTTGAAATGTAGTCTCCTTCAAATTTTGGACTATAGGAGTAGGTGAGGTAGTTCCGTCCATGTGCCCCGTGACCCACTAGACGGAACTATACTAATGATACCTAGGAAAAATTATAAGTTTGAGTTCAAGAATTGAGGTCAGGAAAGGAGCTCAGCCAAAAAAGACCAAGCGCAGAGGTCTTGACCTTGGGCATCCTCAACCTGCACCCTGAATAAAATGAGTGAAAGACAACTGACAACCACAAAGCACCCTTTCAACGGCAGTAAGCGCCAGTCTAGACACAAGAATCTCAACCACCTAAACAATCGCCTGAAATCAAATGAGATGTTACAAGAGGGAGGCGAAGATCTCGCCACAGACCCCATAAAATTAGGAGGTATGTTATAAATACTGTACAATGTCCTCACTTTGAGAAATAAGAAACCAAAAACTGTATCAAGAATACTATGTAATCTCTTCATAATCTTCAATATAGTTCCCAAAAGCAAGAAACTCCATTGAAAAGTAGATTAACCGAACTCTTGAACTGGTGAACCACTATTAATCTTCTGTGCAATCCATCCCCTTATCCCTAAATTGCCACATTATTCCCAAGAGCCTTGTAGCTCAAATCAAATCCTGTTGTTTATATTTTCTATTCAACCACGTTTTACACACCATCAGTTTCACACCGTCTGTGGGAATGACTGTTCATGTTACAAAAATACTGATTTTTCTCAGTAATTGATGGTCTCTACACGTAATATGAGCAAAAGCTAGTTGAACCCCCAGCGGATGCAGACCTAGCAGGAAGACACCAAGAAAATCTTCAAGACTTCTTGCCCACCACTGAGACTAATCCTCCCATGGCAGACCCCCCTTCGAACAACAAATTGGAGGTCTTTCGCTTAGTCAACTAGCGTCTACTACAACAGAAAGAAGTTGTGAAACTCTTACAACGTCCTCAGAAGACACGACTAGCCCAGGATGATCCCCAACAAGGGGAGCATCCACGTCTCGATCCCCTAAGGGAGGGCAATGAAGAGGGTGAACATAGCCAAGCCATGGGTTGTGCTCCTTCTCCGCCTCCCAGGAATGAAGACAACGAAGAAGTACAGAGTCAGAATGGGGGAATTGATAAAAACGAATTCCTTCCTTTCTAGTAGAAAAGAAGAGAACAATATTGGGAACAGCATTTCAGAGACATCCAGTAAGAACTCAGCCACATGAAGGAGGCTGTGAGAGGTAAAAGCCCAGTAACCATGAACGCCTTGGTATAGCAAACTGAGTCTCCCATTCACTGTCGAGGTACTGCATTGCCCTTTCCCTCCAAAGTTAAGATTGTCCCAGATGAAAACCTTTGATGGGACAAAAGATCTTATGGATCACCTCAACACCTACAAGAACCAAATAAAATTACACGGGTATCGAGACCCTGTACGATGTCGAGCCTTTGCGATCACGTTGAAGGGCTCAGTCTTAGCATGGTTCAACAGGCTAGCCCCTGTGTCCATCTCCTCCTTCAGAGAGCTCTCCATATCCTTTGTGTCACACTTCATAGGAGCTTGGACCTATCGAAAACCAAGCTACCATCTACTGAATATAAAACAGGGACCCAATGAGAACCTGCGGTCTTATGTCCAAAGGTTTAACTTAGAATCACCGAATGTGGACATTCCAAATGAAAAATTCTCCATCACTACTTTTATTGCTGGGTTAGGAGTACAGTCAAAGGACTTAATGTTCTCCATGTCTAAGAACCCACAAGCCAGTATTGCAGAGGTGCTTGTCAAGGCAGAAAAATACATTAACGGCGAAGAAGCTCTCCTCTCTAAAGCGGGAAACTCATCCACGCAGAAGGAAAAAGGAAAGGAAGAGAAGAAGAGGGACCGCAGTCCCAAAATAGAAAAAAGTCAAGACAGGTCTCCAAGAAGAGACAGAGATCACTTCCCCAAAAGGAGATGAGATGTCAGGGATCGCCTAGGTCCTCCGCAGCTAGAATTGCAACCAAGGTACGCACCTCGACAGCTCACTCCACTCACAACCACAATATCCTATATTCTCTATAAAGTTCAGAATGAAATTTCTGAGGTGGCCACCTCGGATAAAGGCAGACCCAGCCAAAAGAGATGCGACCAAGTATTGTGAGTACCACAAGGACTATGGCCACCTCACTGATGATTGCATCCAGTTGAAAAAGGAAATTGAGTTCTTGATTCAACGAGGGTAGCTACTTCACTTTGTGGTGCATGATAATTAGAATATAGCTCACCCTCCTCCAACACCTCAGCAGCAAATTCCTACACAACACCAACAGCCAATGGGAGAGATCAAGATGATTCTTGGAGGATTCACTGGTGGTAGGGAAACCAACTCAGCCAGGAAAGCACACATACACAGGGTTAGGACCAAGGAAATATTGGAGGTACAAACTGTGACCAAGACACCTAGGATGGACTTGAAAATCACTTTCTCAGATGCAGACCTAGAGGGGTACCAGTAACCCCATGATGATCCCTTGGTGGTAAAGGCAATAATTGCTAACAAAACCATTCATTGAGTCTTAATCGATAACGGGAGCTCTACCAACATTGTCTTCGCATCTGCCTTTAACAAGATGGACTTAGGCAGGGACAATCTTGAGCTAGTGAAAACTCATCTTTTGGGATTCTCAGGGGAAAGAGTATTGCCCCTAGGGTCAATCCAACTCATCCTCACCTTGGGAAGCCTGACCTGCCAATTAAAGTAACCCCATTAAAGTAACCCCATCCCCAACTCATCCTTGATTCTCTCTTTCTCGGCCTCCCATCCCTTAATAACAAAAGATTGCCTCTCCACCTACGCCTGCAGGTCCTAAACCTGAGTTTTAAGGTCATCATTGGCAAAAGTCAGCTTGACAGCATTGAGCTCAAACGCCTTTGACGCCTTGGCTGAGCTTTCCAAAGCTCTTATCTGACTTAGCAAACCACTCACGTGAATGGCGAACTAGGAACAGACACAATCAAAGGCTAAAGTTAACATAAAGTGACAATGCAAGATAGAAATGGAACACGAAAAGATCAGAAACTTATCGAAGTAGCCCCGTATAAGGCCGTGGTGATGGAAGTTCCAAAGGGCATAGTGGCAACCCTTTGAATATCAAACTTAGGGATGACAAAGGTAATGACATCCGTAGCACATTTCACGTTATCAATAAGGGAGCCCTCACCTTTCTAAACCTTGGAGCCCTTCAAAAATAACTGATGGGACTTCTCAGCTAACCTAGAGGAGCTAGACCCAAGCAGAATACGGGTGATCGTCTCCAAGGCTCCCTCGACCTCTATCGAGGAAGAAGTGGTCGGAACCGCGCTTTGTTCAGGATCCCCTCTAGAAGAAGGATGCACGGTCCCTTGAGGAAGGGAGGTCTGTATGATCTAAGGTGAGCTCGATGATGGAATAAGAGACACTTGGGACGAAAAAGGAGAAACAAGAGGCGCCTTTGACCACGGCACCTTGGTTGGGGGGACAGAACCACTTTCTGATCTGACCTCAGCCTTGCGTTTACCCCCACTTTTGGTTCTCTTTAACAGGTCAACCTTTGCCCTCAAAGCTTTCAAAGNTGATGATGGAGTAAGAGACACTTGGGACGAAAGGGGAGAAACAAGAGGCGCCTTTGACCACGGCACCTTGGTTGGGGGGACAGAACCACTTCCTGATCTGAACTCAACCTTGCGTTTACCCCCACTTTTGGTTCTCTTTAACAGGTCAACCTTTGCCCTCAAAGCTTTCAAAGTTGGTTCCATTGAGGTAGAAACTGAAAACCCAAAGCAAATAAATCAAAAATAAAGAAAGGAGAAGTGAGATAAATGTTAAGGACAGAAGGATGAAGTGTTATCTACCTCCTCCTCTACTCCGGCTACAGAAATGGGGACAAGGGTCTCAACCCTCACTTCTAGAGGACTAAACCCAAGTTCAGTAAGCAATTTGGGCTTTATAAGCTCAGAATATTTCTCTAGATCGCAATCCTCTAAGCTCAGCAAAACTAGCTTATCCTCAGCGCTNAACTACAGAAATGGGGACAGGGGTCTCAACCCTCACCTCTAGAGGACTAAACTCATGTTCAGTAAGCACTTTGGGCTTTATAAGCTCAGAATATTTCTCTAGATCGCAATCCTCTAAGCTCAGCAAAACTAGCTTATCCTCAGCGCTGAGATTGGGTTGAATACTTGAAAAGTGAAACAAAATAGGCAGAACAAGGTCAGCGAAATAAAGCGTAAAGGTTGATCCAAGCTTACTCAGACAAGGCTTACCTAGGTTATCAGGGGCAGACCAGGCCCGAGGCACTAGGAGGGTGTCAACCACATCTTCTGGATTGTATTCTCATTCTCTGCCCCACACAAAGAAGAAGAGTTTCTTCTAACCCTTTTGGGAGCTTGAANGAATAAAGCGTAAAGGTTGATCCAAGCTTACTCAGACAAGGCTTACCTAGGTTATCAGGGGCAGACCAAGCCCGAGGCACTAGGAGGGTGTCAACCACATCTTCTGGATTGTATTCCCATTCTCTGCCCCACACAAAGAAGAAGAGTTTCTTCTAACCCTTTTGGGAGCTTGAAAGGTCAGTAATGATGGCTTGGATTTTTACCCGTTTGGAAACGTATAGGAAGCCGTCAGAAGAAGTGTGTTTAACATTGAAGAACTTCATAAGCAAAGGCACGATAGGAACTCCAAGTTCGTGTTTTTTCAAGAAAACAAGAAAACCCACCAGAATATTCCCAAAATTGGGAGAAAGTTGANGAAACGTATAGGAAGCCGTCAGAAGAAGTGTGCTTAACATTGAAGAACTTCATAAGCAAAGGCACGATAGGAACTCCAAGCTCGTGCTTTTTCAAGAAAACAAGAAAACCCACCAGAATATTCCCAAAATTGGGAGAAAGTTGATCAGGGCAAACATTAAAATATTGAAGGATGCTCTTAAAGAAAGGGTGCATTGAAAAACGAAGGACGTTCTCGAGAGCAGCCACAAAGAAACACATCTTCTTAGGGATTGGGGAGTCATACCAAGTGTCCACGTTTGGGCACCAATACTGCAAACCCCGAGGAAAACCAAAATGAGCAGATAAAACCCTCATGTAAGNACGTTCTCGAGAGCAGCCACAAAGAAACACATCTTCTTAGGGATTGGGGAGTCATACCAAGTGTCCACGTCTGGGTACCAATACTGCAAACCCCGAGGAAAACCAAAATGAGCAGATAAAACCCTCATGTAAGGAAGGGTGACCTCACTACAACCCATGAGGTTTGAAGCTCTGGGGGCAACCCCTACACCTTCAGCGTTGCCATAAATCTCAATGCCACTCACTTGACTTTACCTTTCTTGGATTTCTTGGGCACAGGGGAGGATGATGAGGGGGGCTCCTCAGCTTCTTCCTCAACATCGACATAATCGACCCCAGAAAAATTATCAATCTCCTCACCCACATCTCCTAAGTCGATGTCTTCTTCCCCAGCAGACCTCTCACCCATGGCAAGAGAGACCGATGGAGCAATAGCTTCAGAAGAGCCAGACATAATGGGATTAGAAAAAGGGGAGGTAAAATGAGAAAGAAGGAAAGGGGACACTATCAAAACAATCCCTGAGAGTCAAGAGGTCAAGACAGTAGTGACCAATGAGGAAAATTTTAGTAGTGGAGTAAGGGTCTAGAAAGAGGGGAAGATGGGACAAGGAGTAGCCTCGATCTCTAAAGTAGCAAAAATGAAAGGCCCAAATATGCAGCAACCACCTCGGATTTGAGGGATCCAAAACGAAGAAATGACAAGAATCAAGAAGCGTACCTAACCAAGAGCAATCGACAAACCAAAGCCCAATGCGAAATCAGAGAGCAAGCCTCGCAAAGCCTTCAAATCAAATCAAGGAAAGTTGACTTTCAGTGAAACCCTAAGATCACCAATAGATTGGCGTAGCCAAAATCGCAAGGAAAAAAGGAGGAAAAGCTTGGAAAGAGAAATCAAAAGGAGAAGTGAGGCAATTTCCATCGTCTCAGGGGCATTTAAAGCTTGGTGTACATAGGTAATCGAAGTGTGGGATGTGCATGAGAAACAAAGAGGAAATGATTGCACAAAACAGTCAAAAGAGTCTCTTCGTGTGCAAATCGAGGTCACCATATGGAGGCTTAAATAGACCCAACCACAGCTTAGCCCCTGCTCAAACTATTTAAAGCTTGGTGTACGTGGGTCATCGAAGTATGAGATGTGCACGAGAAACGAGGAGGCAAAACCGTCAAAAGAGTCTCCTCACCCACAAATCGAGGTCGCCATATGGAGGCTTAACTCGACCCAATCGCAACTTAGCCCTTGCTCAAGCCCACTTTGACCAGGGACTAGGGGCCAACTGATGATACCTTGGAAAAATTCCAAGTTTGAGCTCGGGAATTAATGTTAGAAAAGGAGCTCAGCCAAGAGAGCCTGAGCTCAAAGGTCTAGAACATGGGCACCCTTGACTGCACCCCGAAAAAAATGAGTGGAAAACAGCTGGCAATCACAAAGCGCCCCTTCAACGGTAGTAAGTGCTAGTCTAGGCGCAAAAACCTCAACCGCCTAAATCATCGCCTGAAATCAAGTGAAATGTTACAAGAGGGAGGCGAATATCTCATCACAGACCCCATAAAATTAGGAACTAATCTATAAATATTGTACAATGTTCTCACTTTAAGGAATAAGAAACCAAAAAATTTATCAAGAATACTGTGTAATCTCTTTATAATCTTCAATATAGTTCCCAGGAGCAAGATACTTCATTGAAGAGTGGATTAACCGAGCTCTCGAACTGGTAAACCACTATAACTCTTCTGTGCAATCCATCCGTTATCCCTAAATTGCTACATTATTCCCAAGAGCCTTGTAGCTCAGATCAAATCATGTTGTTTATATATTCTGTTCAACCACATTTTACACACCATCATATACTATCATAGCTTCTTCTCCCCATCGGAACAATAGGCCGTTATGCTCATTACTAAACTTGAGCAACAACTTCTCCCATTTAAGGCATTCAAATTTTGGACCATGGTACTAACTAGTTCCATCCAAGTGCCCCGTCACCCACAACATGAACATACGTTGTGGCCCAAAGCCATATCTCCCGAGTTTTTGAACACTCCACTATTGAGCCACTATTTAAACAGTAACTTCTCTCTGTCTCAATGGAGTGGTCTTCGTCTAAGATTTTTGGATGCTAGTACTAGCTGTTTCCTTTCAACCACCACCAATATCCCCCCCAAAAAAAAAAAAAACACGTTGTAAACCACGTTTGAGGCACATGACATTCTAGACTGATCTAACACAGCTTGACGTACCAGGATGCCAATAGGACAGGAGAAGTTTGTTGTCATCGGAGACCTCGAAGGTTGGGGATATTCTAACAGTGATATTCGTGCATACCTTGGGGCTCTAACCATTTTGCAGGTATAGTCTTCAAAACAACATTTCATTAACTTAAGTATACTTGCCAATCTCTTTGTTGACTCAAAATTTCTTTTCGTTTTGGATAAAATAAATGAAACGTTTCGGCTTCAGTTTCAGTGAAAACCCAAAAGAATCTGTGATTAAAAACGACACATGTTTTGAAACACAACAAAATGTTTCAAAATGTTTAAAAATCAAAGTTCAAAATTTTCCCCATATTTTCATTCTCTTTACATTACATTTTTCGTTTTTTATTTGCCCAAAATCATATAGAGAAATAAAATTTTGATCCTTACTTTTCTGCAAATCTTCGATTAATAGACACAAGTCCACACCCCGAGTTAAAATCCTATGACGGGAGACTCTCTCACTGGGACATAGGGAACCCATTTGCTATTGCATAGAAGTTGTAGCACTATGATGTGTTGAAATTTGGAAAACTTCTGAATTAATAGCTTGATGTTAATGACAGGATTACTACCCAGAGAGACTTGGGAAATTGCTTATCGTCCATGTGCCTTACATATTTATGACAGTATGGAAAATTGTCTACCCCTTCATCGACAACAATACCAAGAAAAAGGTGAGATTTTGATTTCTCTCTCTTCTTAAAGATTGAATTTAAATTCTCTCTATTACAATTTCCCTTAGTTTCATTTAATGGTAGATTATTCATCGTATATGGATGGGGAGCCCACTAATAAATATTAGGTCCCATGTGTATTAATGGTAGATGATCTACCATTAAGTAAAAATTGAGTCAAAGTATAATGAAAAAGATTGAATCAGGAAGATTGCTGCATTTAAATGTTAAACATTAAACATGTTATCTTATCATGGATAGTTCCCATACCTTCACAACATGCGTTGCCAATGCTTCACAAAGTCCCGACACTTAATAATTAGGTCAACATGGACTTAGTCATATATGATACCAACACGACTTTACACAATACGACATTATATGGTTATAAATAAATCGATTTTGATTATGAATTGAACATATTTTGATATGAAAAAAACTTAAGCATGCACAAATTTTTAGTTGCAAACAAGAATAGGACTATGATACTTACCAAAAAAAGGGAATAGGATTACAGTTGACTAAATTTATGTATTTTTCTGCTAATATAGATTGTGTTTGTGGAAAATAAACGACTGAAATCAACTTTGCTCAAAGACATCGACGAGAGCCAACTTCCAGAAATTTATGGAGGCAAAATGGCATTGGTTCCCATCCAAGACAGCTAATTGGAAAACTTGCCTTGCCTTTGAAAGTGCTATTCTTCTGCATTTGCCAGTCTTGAGGATCAGCTTAGCTCTGACTTAATCCTGAAATGGCGGGAGCTTTGTGTGTTATGATTTTTTTTTAACCCTTTATTGGCATGAACTCTTTCAATAAGAGTTTAAACTTATCTACAAGAGGTGCAATGATTTACTTCTTGGGAGAGGTCTTGGATTTAAGTCTAGGATGGCCCAGCTGTGGGAGACATTGTGCCTATTTTGCTTAATAGGATGCAATTATGTATAAATTTATAGGTTTGGTGTCTGTAGAATGAATTGGTTCCTGGTATTATATCTTATTAGTTGTATAGTGGTGCACCCTTTTATATACATTTAAGTCCTACTTGTATTAATGGTGGGTGATCTCTTATTAAGTGAAATTAAAAAAAAGCGTGTTGCAGAGAGATCCAAATCCGACGTTTTGGTACATTTGGTTCCTCCCTAGTTTTAAGTTCTCTATAAATCTAATAAATTACCGTCTAGTAGTAAGAACCCAACTTAAACATAATCGATTCAATCAAAATTCATGATAAGATAATTTTAAAAGGAATCAGAAGGTAAGTAGAATTAGAGAAGAGTGGTACCCATGGTGAAGTGTAGTGAGAAGATTTTTTGTGCTTGGATGTAGAGAAGAAACAAGAACATGAGCACCACAGCACTAGCTTCTAATATAATTTCCTGGGAAATGAATAACACTGCATATTTGTCTCCGCCCACGAGGGTCCTCCGTTTGGGTGCTAATGATGTTGATCTACGTAGTTACCGCATGTCACAGCTTACCATCGACCTGGTCGGAGCATGGTCAAGAAGAGGATCAGCTCCTAAAAATTTAGAGCACATCCAAAAGAGGTGCAATTTTTATAATAGGAACAAAGACAGCGTCCAGAAAAAGGACCCCAGCACTACAACCCAACGCAATATGAAAGCATTTCCTAGAAACAAATTCGTGGAGGGTCCAAAATGGCTTCCCATTGAGAGCCAACATCATGGAGGTGCAAATTTGCATAGAGGAGTTCCCCAAAACAATGGAAGATTCCAAGAAGTGTCACGAATGTTTAACTGAAATTCTGCATTCAACGTTAGGATGCACTTCCACCATGTTTGAAGGTGAAAAAATTATAGAATTTGTCAATATGCTTTGCTTAGTCCAAAAGCAGTATTCATGAGCAGAAATGACCGAAGAAATATCTCTAGCAAACCTTTGTAGTTGCATGCTCAACAAAGGTCAATTTAAAATGCTCAAAGCCTCAGACGAAAACTAAATTAGCAAGGAGGGACATCCTCCGAAAAATTTAGTAACTTGTTCTGCTAGAATAAAGTCATCCTCAGATCAGCCTTATCTTATTGACAATCAACAACACGTTCTCACCTTAAGAAAATGTCAACTTGAAACCTTCAGGATGGTTTATGGTGTATCTCTTCACAATTGCCAGCAATTTGATAATGCAAACATGATTTAAGGGAGCCACTTTTTAAGTTCTTCATCTAGCTGACTCCTTCATGTTACCTAGGGAGTAGGGACACAACCTCGAGCTGTCGACAATGTTAGAAACTCAATGTCCTCTTCATCAGGCAGTTGATGAAAGCCATTTCCCCTTGCCACTTGAGAGACGCAGGCACCCACAACCACTTCCGGAGATGACAGCTTAAAGGAGACGAGGACAATAACATGCTTGCCATTAGACGTGTTCAGCACAATTGAGGATCAAGAGACAACCTGTTGTTTGTCAGTATAAAGTAGGCTATGTGCACTTGCTGCAATTACAAGGGGGTAAATGGTCCATAGTTGCACTACCAGTATCCGATTTTGGAAGTTCTTTAAAGCCCCCAACTGCTAGGAGGTCAAACCTTGGAAATTTAGCCAACAAAGGGTTATCAGAAAACTCACCACACATGATCTGGCAATAGTAACATGCATGTTGTCATATCATTTTGCAAATTAACAAACTGACCAATTTCTATGGGCTTGTTGGTCAACCAAACACGTTTACCTTAAAATGTTAGCTAGCCCATGATCATTTAGCATACGCGGATATATAAAGGAAAACTTATCTCATCCTGCATGCAGGAAAGTACTTAAGGGTAGAGATTCAAATCTTGGGTAAGTAAAAGATTGACAAAAATTTTTTATTCAATATTTCAAGGTACACTCTGAGAATTTGGTAATCAAGAAGAAAAGGAAAACTATATTCCCTAAACAGCAAAAAGGTTTTTTTTTTTTTGTTGGAGGGAGGGGGATGCTGAGGAAGCAATAGCTATGAATTTAG